GTTGTTGCGGGTGTTGGTGGTGCAGGCGGCGTGGTGGCTGTGCTTGGGGCAGGTGCGGTACTCGGTGCCGGAGGAAGCCAAGGCCGGGACGGTGGTGGGGCGTGTGGCGCAGGACCTGGGTCTGGAGGCGGGCGAGGCGGAGGCGCGGCGGCTGCGGCTGGTGTCTGCGGGCCGGCGGGCGAGCGTGGAGGTGAGCGGGGCGAGCGGGGCGCTGGTGGTGAGCTCGCGGCTGGACCGGGAGGAGCTGTGCGGCAAGAGCGCGCCGTGCGCGCTGCGGCTGGAGGTGCTGGTGGAGCGGCCGCTGCGCGTCTTCCACGTGGAGCTGGAGGTCACCGACATCAACGACAATGCCCCCATCTTCCCCGCCGCCCGAAAAAACATCAGCATCGCGGAATCGTCGCTAGCAGGTTCCCGTTTCCCGCTGGAGGGCGCGTCTGATGCAGATATCGGAGTGAACGCGCAGCTCTCCTACACACTCAGCCCCACCGAACATTTCAAAATACAGGAAGAAAACAGTAACTCGCGTACTAAATCCTTGTTTCTGATACTTACAAAGGCGTTGGATCGGGAGACGATGCCGGTGCACCGGTTGTTGCTGACGGCGAGTGACGGGGGCCGGCCGACCCTGACGGGCACTGTGGAGCTGGTGATCTCGGTGCTGGATGCGAACGACAACGCGCCCCAATTTAACCAGTCAGTGTATAACGTACATCTACCCGAGGACGCCAAAGAAGGGATGCTGGTGATACAGGTGAACGCCACAGATCCGGACGAGGGAAGTAATAGAGATGTGAAATATGAAATCGATACTGTTGTTCCTCCCTCTGCCTCAGATGTTTTCAGCATCGATGCAAATAGTGGAGAAATCAGACTGACAGGAGCCCTGGACTTTGAAGCAGTTACTTTATATGACCTGAGTGTTAAGGCGACAGATAAGGGGACGCCCCCACTGTCGGGTCACTGCAAGGTGGTGCTGGAGGTGCTGGACGTGAACGACAACGCGCCGGAGGTGTGGGTGACGTCGCTGTCGGTGCCGGTGTCCGAGGACGCGTCGCTGGGGACGGTGGTGGCCCTGCTGAGCGTGTCGGACCGGGACTCGGGGGCGAACGGTCGTGTGCGGTGCTGGGTGTGGCCGTCGGGTCCGTTCGTTCTGGAGGCGACGTTCTCGGGGTCGTACTCGCTGGTGCTGCGGGAGGCGCTGGACCGGGAGCGGGTGTCGGAGTACGAGGTGGAGGTGCGTGCGGAGGACGGCGGTTCGCCGGCGCTGGGCGCCCGTGTCGGGGTGCGTGTGCCGGTGTCGGACGTGAACGACAACGCGCCGTCGTTCGCGCAGGCGGTGTACACGGTGCTGGCGCGGGAGAACAACTTGGCGGGCGCGGAGCTGGCGCGGCTGTGGGCGCGGGACCCGGACGAGGCGGGCAACGGGCGCGTGAGCTACTCGTTGTGGGAGGGCGCGTCGGGCGGGGTGTCGGGGTCGTGGTGGTCGGGGACGGGCTCGGTGGGGGGTGGTGCGGCGTCGAGCTACGTGTCGGTGGAGGCGGAGAGCGGTGTGTTGCGGGCGCTGCAGCCGCTGGACTACGAGGAGGTGCAGGTGCTGCAGTTCGAGGTGCGTGCGGTGGACGCGGGGGAGCCTTCGCTGTGCGGCAACGCGACGGTGCAGCTGTTCGTGGTGGACGAGAACGACAACGCGCCGGCGCTGCTGCCGGCGGCGGGCGGCGGTGCGGAGGCCGGGGCCGTGTCGGGGGAGGCGGGGACGCTGTGGGCGTGGGCGTCGTGGGGTTCGCCGTCGGGTCAGGTGGTGGCGAAGATCCGGGCGGTGGACGCGGACTCGGGCTACAACGCGTGGCTGCGCTACGAGCTGTGGGAGCCGCGGGGCAAGAGCGCCTTGTTCCGCGTGGGGCTGTACAGCGGCGAGGTGAGCACGGCGCGGGCGCTGGAGGAGGCGGACGGGCCGCGGCAGAGGCTGGTGATCGTGGTGCGGGACCACGGCGAGCCGGCGCGCTCGGCCACGGCGACGCTGAGCGTGTCG